ATCCGTCCTCATCTGGTGAGATCGACCAACGAATCTCTTCTTCATGCACTTTCATCCGAAATAAAGGTCCCTCTAATAATGTCATCTCAGAAGATTCACCGAAACCAAGTTTCTATTAGTATCTATATTAAGCTCATCAGCCAGACCATACGTAGGAGATTACAAAGCCTTAATCATGTATTCTCCTTGATTTTTAAGCCCTAATAACCATAGACTCACGAGTTATGGCGAATAGTTTTGTAACCTGGCTTACACACACACAAACTTATATCTAATTATCCTAGCTATAGTTGCTTATTGGCTTACGCGATCTCGGTCATGCTTTTCCTTGAGTCTTTAAGCCTTGATAACCCTTGCCTGAAGTTATGCTTTTTATGTTACTCTGAATTACGGCAGGTCTTGTCCAACGACTTTAACAAACATATGCACGCACACATACAGACAGACACGCTCAAGTAAAATTACTATGAATAATATGGAAGAGAATTGGCCAAATCAGTCCATATCTGTTTTGGTTTTTTATTTGTTAGTACATAGAATATGTAGGATAGGACAGTGCAGTCTTGGTGAATTAGCTCTCTTACCATAAGTAGGTTCTAGGGTTCGAGTCCCACTAAGAGTGCTAATGAGGTCTAAACTGCAGTCCATCTTGAACCTTGAGGCCTACTTAGTGCTAAGGGAAAGTTTAACTACTATCTCTTCATAACATTGAACGAAATAAGGTGAATAAAGCTCTTCTTTACTTAGTATTAACTTAAGACTTTTGCAAAAATAAGTTCCAGCTCTGATGCTATCCATCATATGACGAACAAAAGTATAACATAATTTCACTCGAAACGATGAATGATGTCCTGTGGACTTTGTCCATCTGAAATTTGTGTTAAAGCCAAACGACTTCAGAATAACGGAAATCAGCCTCCGTCTTCCGGTTAGATCATCACATGCATTTTAATACAAAATGGAAGCGTATAGAACAATTTTATTTTGAATCGGCAGATCTGAACTTTAAGCTTTAATTTCTTCGGCGATGAATAGGCGGCAAAAATCCGTGTAGTTAAATTGAACATAGAAAATAAAAATATTAGTAGCACAATAAAAAAATTCCCTCACCAAAAGAGAAGAGACAAGACCAAGACCCAGCTGAGTACCACCAGAACCGGATAAATCAGTCCACACTTGATCGGTGTTGATGGGGACTATGTTGACTGGCCAAAGTGATGGTTTGAAGCACCTTTTGTAAAGCTTGATTAAGCCAGAGTCATCATGATTAGAAATAGCAGCACCAGGATCATTAAAATTGTCGGCTGTAGGCAAATCCGTTCGAGTGGATCCAGATAAAACGCCAGAAGGAGAATGCAAGAGGACACGAGACAGCTGCAACCAGGAGACTTGGGCGTTAGTCTGTGATAAATATATCAGTTGAATCAAGACATGATTTAGGATTAAAGAAATCGTCAAAGCTTAA